GAGGGCTAATCTGCTTCATTTTTAATTTAAGGGTTTAAATGTTATTTTGGGGTAAGGTTGAGGGTTTAAGAAGGGTTTTTAGCTGGTAACAACGTGGAGTAGAGGGTTTCAGTTCAGGAACTGAACAAAAGAGATATTTTAGTCAGATATAAGATTTTCATTTAAACACTCAGAATTTTAAATCTAACAAAGAGTAGAGCCTCAGAGAAGATGAAGAGGCCATCATGGGTTTGCACTTTGGTGACACAGATGTGTTTATGTTTTGCTCTTTATGTAGCTCTCAACTTGGGTCAGCCTCAGGAATCTGTTTACACAGACAGCAGGATCAGGAAGTCTCCTGACCTTTACTTCGTCAGCGTTAGAGGAGGGTCTAGACCCTTTAAAGAGCGGATCCATCTTCTCAAAATGGTCAGTTTCTTCATCTTTTTCACCGAAATTTCTGTTTCATGAAAGAGATTTTCCCCTTTTTTCTTTTTTATCAGCTTTTCCCTTGTTCTTTTGACTCTATGATGGGTTTTGCATGTGTGACTGGATAATTGAATCTGTTATCATTGGATGTTGTTGGTGTGTCTGAAGATTTTGTAATTGATGTAGATGGAAAAAGTGGTGAAAACTTTCAACGTAAGGTTTGTGATCAATATTAGTGAGCTTGGGGAGGATGATCCTCTCGTGCACAATGTAAGAGCTGTTCCTGATCCACAAAATTAGGAATTGTGAAAGCCTCTTCATTTTCCCATCATTTGGTTTCATTGTTTTTTCAATGGTGAACGCCCACATTTTTATGTGTCTTTTGCAGGTAACCTTGCTCTTTCCAGCACTAAAGACTCCCTGGTATTCTACCTCTTGGCAGTCAATTCTCTGACTTGGGTACATTTGCATCATATACAATGTTGTCAATTTTGTTCCAATGTTTCAGATTTAAACGCTTATGCTTCATTAAGATCATACAGTAGTGCTGATTTTATCAACTTTGCTTGGGTGAGGATTAATGGGGATTATGCTTTTAGGTACTATACCAGAGTTTCTAGCCATGGATTCGGCTGCTTCCTTGAGCAGATCAAATTACCTCAAGGGAAAACATTGGATGCTATCATTCTGGACACTGGTTGGTTGCAGGTGGTTATTTATTTGCTAAGAGTCTTATATCATGTGATGCTAGTAGATTAGATCTGAGATGCCCTTATTTCACTCTCAAATTCTTCACTTTTCCTGTTCTCTGCCACATTACCTCTCTTTCATTTGAATTACCATCCTTGAAATGTGAATGCAGTTCTAAATGCTGACTTTATGATTTCTTTTATCTGTTCAGAATATATTTAGTTCTTTTTACTGAAATATTTCTGTCAATACTACATTTTTTTTGTCTTATTAAGCTCCATAGCTTAGATACCAATGTAAGTCATCTTTTTTTCTTTCCTCTGATTTGAGCTTATTGTGTTGTTTTAAGGACTCAAAACTTACGGGATTATCAAGTAGCATTGAAGACAGTAAGTTAAATCGGCTGGCAAGGACTCTTGAAGCAACTGATAGTAACTGGTAAAGTAACTCTATCTTGTTGGCTGGCTGTAGTTTTCTTCCAGTAGTGCTTTAACTTGCAAGGTTTTAAAAGTTTTGGTTGATTCATCCATACTAGGCAGTGAAACCTTGAATTCTTGTCCTTAGCGTACTTCTTACATGAAATGTACTCCTTTGCAGTTGTGGAAGTTAAAAACTCGAGAAAATGTTCATATTTTCTTGATTCAATGATTTCCCTCTACAGCCTACTTGGATTTCAGCGTAGTGTTACCAGATACTAACATATTATTCATCTTAATCTAAGTTTCATTTTGATTTGTGAATCCAGGCGCATAGTGATAGGATTTCATCCCTTGTTTCTTTGTGAAGAGAATAAGGAACAAATGGAAGCAAAGCAGATGTATAAGCAGCTACACCATATCTTTATGAAGTATGGAGTGGTAATAAGAAAAACTCATTTTTGAATCGGCTGCGAATATCAATCATTCTTAACTTCATTATTTTTTTAATCAACATCAGTTCTAAACTCACTCCACCTTAAAAGGAAATTAAAATTTTTTCTTTTAATTCACATTGTGAAAACTAACGCCTAGCAGTTTTGATGTTACAGACTGATTGTTAGTATTATTCTTGCCTGTAGAATGTTTACATAAGCAGGCAAGGTTGTAAGAGCAATGCTCAGCAAGATGGCATTGCCTACATTGGCATTCCTAGTCTAACTGAAGAAGAGCCCTATTTGGCACCTGCAGAAGGAAGATCTATATTTACTGAGTTTGTTCCTTACTACAACCAAATCTCAGTCCCTATCATGTTTTTACTTGCAACTTGAACCTCATCTTTTGCTCTTCTCATATATCTTTCTTTCTTCCTCAGAGAAATGGCTAATGGATTCCTCCTCCATAGGGTCAGCCTGCTAAAGATTGTAAGTATCTGATTCCTTTTTCTTCTGCCATTTCAATAGATCATACCCTTATCTTGAAGTGATAAAGGTTTGTTTGAACAATCTATGATCTCGAGTCAAATCAATCCAGCAGTTCATATTCTCTCCAATATATAATCCCTTTAGATGTTCTTCCAGAATCATAAAATGACATACAGTAATTTTTTCTTCTTGGCAAAGCACAGACATGCTAATGATCCAATGTTGTGTTGACAGGTGACTTATTTTGTTACCTCAGAAGGAGAAGTTGTGAACAAAATTGAAATCCAACAGAGGGGTAAGGAGGTGATGTAAATTTTCTTGCAGCAAAAACACATTCATTCACCCCTAGTCTTTGAAGTCACAGTGCAATAACCTCCAGAATTTTTACAGTGACAGGATTTGCTTATTCATTGTGAAAATCTCAAACAAAGTCATGTAATGTCATCACTTTATCTTGCTTTTATGAAGGTTGAGACATTACAAGACATTCCTTCTGATGATGAAATGACCTAAATACCCTGGAAATGTGAACTTTTATAATATTGATTGAAGGCTAAATCGGGAAATACACACCAACCAGGCAGCTTAAATGGAGAGCAGAGGAAGTGCTTAGGTTTTCAGACGCTCTTTCAGGGGGGGATGAGGCTCTGTTTCAGAGAGATGGGCTCCCGAGGGTTGTTGCCCATCTCTCGCCGTCGGCGATCATCCGGAGCCGGTGATCTACCCCTGTTTCTCTTAATCTTCTTTTTTTCCTTTCTTTTTTTTTTTTCACACGCACAGGCTCTGTGCTGTGACTGTTCTCTCTCTCTCTCTCTCTCTCAAAAAACGAAGCGTAATGAGGCTGTGAAGATCTTTTGTTGGTTCCGAAGAGTGTCAAAATCGAGCACGGCGAAGCATCCGTTTCAACGGCGGGGCGACCCGGATGGCCAGCGGGAAGTTAGATCCCGCCGGCAACCGGTTTGTCGCAGTCGTCACGGAGCTTTTCCATGGCTCTGAATCATATCCAAATCTGAGCCTCCCCTCATCACCCATTTCCAATTTTACATTGAAAGTCATTCCTTTTTAATATTGTATCATAAAAATCCAATCTTTTCATTTGGAAAACTAAAATGGTGAATAGAAACTGGAAAAATTGATTTGCATTGTGGACTACAAAACAAGGAACTTAAAAAATTTTATGATTTCGTCCTAAAATTATGAATTATTATCCGCAAAACATGATTCTCGGAGGAGGGAGGTCGTTGTTCCTGTTTTGCCATTCGATATGGTCCCATAAGCTTTAAGAAAGTTGAGATTGAAGCACAAAGTTGTCAACTTTACACTAGAAATTCCACATTTTGGAATGACAAAAATGCCGCTGGCTCTTGTTTGGACTTTTCCTTTTTTGGCCTCGGTTGAAAGTGGAGGGGTAAATGTGGAATAAGACAGAGATGAGCAGAATAAAAGGAAGATGGGTCAGAGATTAGGGTTTCATCTCATTAGTTTAAGAATGAGGCTTTGCTCTCAGGAAGGTGGAAGGTTTCTAGGGTGGTTGCCCCCTTCTCTGATGGATGGCGGAGCCGGTGATTTCACTGCCAGATTAATGTAATCAACAACCCTAAACACGAACTGAGAAAATCACTTCTCTCTTCCTCTCCTTCACTCTCTAGCATCATCATCATCATCACCAGAATTAATCCATGCTCTGTTTCTGCTCTTCTTCTTCTCTCACAATGAGGCTGTGATGAAATCTTCCCTTGAAAAATGCTGACTTTGAAGGTAAAGGCTGTAGTTTGGCAGGGCAACTTCTTGGGTCTCCGGAGTAATGTTCATTCCGGCGGCATCTGATTGTTGCAGCCACCGGCCCTGTTCCTTCATCTGTCTGAGAAAAGGCGAATCTGAGCCTAACCTCCCCCCCCTCCCCCTCCCCCTCTCCTTTTAAATTTTGTATTTTTTCTAGTTTTACATGGAAAATTCAAGAACATGAGTGGAATTATGTCAAGTAAATTAAGGGTTTGCCAAGAATTGGTGGAAAATGATATCTTTTTGCATAGTTGAAAAATGAACCACAGTCATCTGAAATTAAATCCCTTATATCATGAAAACGGGTCTCAATTTTCTTTACAGGCATGAAATATGAAGTTAAAAGGTATCAGTTTTTACAAGATTATTACTCTGGCAGCCAATGTCAGCATCATCAGGCAAATAGAAGACTAATCACCATGATTGCTACTAGAGAAAGACCAATGTTGGCTGCTATTGTTGTGCTGCTTGATTTACGTCCTGGTGTACCCGGTGTAGCAGGTGAGTCCACCTTGGCCACTGCTGGCAGTGGTGGGTCGATAACGTCTGCCATATCCAGTGGTGGAGATGGTGCTACTGCTGGTGACATTGCCTCGGGAGGAACCTGGCTGAGGAGTCCCCCAGGTTCAGCTGGCAAGATGGCAATCTCAGCATTTAAGTCACTGCATGGGCTTCCTGCACAAAAACCATGAATTGCCATTAGACTCATTCTTCTTGTTATGTGTTTTTGAAATCATGATGAGATGTGATGCAGATGTTTTCATGATTCAGATATTGAAGGATTTACTCAAATATTTGCTGGCAGTTCCAGGGAATTCTGTTATGACCCCATTAACTCCAAGCCCTGCAATGTAGGTTGCAAGCTCTACTATAGGATCTGAAAAGTAATCGTATGCAAGGGAAACATATTCATTCCTCAGAACCGAAACGAATACTGAGATATTTGCAGCTTGCATTTGCTTGAGAACAGTTGTCTGTGCTTGAGCAAAGCCATTGTTGATGGTGATAAGGGATGGCCTCGGTAAAACAACTGTAGTTGCATACTTCTTGATTTCATCCAAAGGTTGCTTCGGTGCACTGCCTATGGTATCTTTGATGGTTAATACAGTTTTGTAAGCTGGGACACCTTGAAACTTGGACAATACTGAACTGTCATCTGATTGGATCAGGACTTGTTGGGTGGATTGCTGATCAAAGGTGGCATTCTTCAAGGCT